ATTGTGTAGGAAGCTTCAATGGCCTTAGACAAACCAAAAATTGTGAAATCAATGTTATGGGTCTGAAGGGGTAAAATTGGCTAAACTTTCATCAATCTTAATTATGGATGGAGAGGCTCAACATTGTGAATTTTCCTGCTTACTGACTTTTAGCAGCATGATATAGTCGGTCACTCCCCAACATCATTTTGTCAGCAAAACTGCAGTTTTAGAGCCAAGGTCACACTTTAAGTGCTGTGGGGAAGGAAGTATCACTTTGTATCATTTCTTTTTTGGCAGTTTAAAGAATATTCAGAAATTACTGTATTCTGTCAATTGTTACTTCAGATTTGAATTTCCTGAACGGTTAGAACTGGACCAATTTCTACATGAGAAAGAAAAGACTCCTGCCTCTTACATTCTGCATGCTGTGCTTGTACATAGTGGCGACAACCATGGGGGCCACTATGTTGTATATATTAACCCAAAATGTGATGAAAAAGTGAGTACTTCCTTGTTGTGGCTAGGCTGCAGCATTCAGACACAATATTCCTGTACATATAGTATTTATAATGTTGACATTATAATGCATTACCGAGGTTATAACCTCTACATAAATTGCTAGATGAACATCGACCATGTTGAAATACATAAACACTCTGGATAAAACCTGTAGGGTCATGATCAATAACTTGAGGATTATATGGTGTTTGATCAATCAAAGGTAAGTCTTAAATCATCAGGTATCAATCTTGAAATTGGGAAGAACAGCTCTGCTTATTAAAACCTGTATTGGCAATGTCTGCCATACAGTATAAAGTCAATTTTACAGAATAACGGAAAGAGACTACAGATATATCTGAATACGAGAACATTTTGATTCCATGCTATCATAAGATAATTGAAATCTTTCTTCAAGCTTTACAAAAAAAAGAAGCATTTCCAGAAAACGTTGATTGTATTTGAGAAATGTGAGTTTGAGAAGATGGGGTTCTATTGAATGTTGTGTTATAAAAATAATGTTGATGATTTTTTAGGTCCAAAATGAGTGTATAAGTATTTAAATCTTTAGAAGTATAGTTGTTTGTTTTGTGTATTTTGGCCTATTAATTGCAAGTGTGTGGACAATTCAGGACAAATATAAGATTTATTATGAAATTTTTTGTAGTGGTGCAAATTTGATGATGATGTCGTGTCCAGGTGTACAAAACAAGAGGCCGTTGATAAAAATTTTGGTGGACATGATGACGAAATTTCTGTAAAACACTGTACAAATGCATATATGTTGGTGTATATACGAGAGAGTTGTATAAGTAAGTTTTTCAGGAAATTTTGAAAGCACATCCATTTTATTTTAATAAATCAATTTGCCTCATATCTCTTATCATATTGAAATGTCTTTATTAGCCATGGTACAGCATATGATAAGTGTGTTGTGAGTTTACTGTGCCTTATTATGTAGTGGTGTTCCTATTGATCAAAGCTTGTCTATATCTATTCTTTTATATTTCATTGTCTATCAAGTAATGTTTTTTCCATAATCAGCTATGGTCATGGAAGTGACAAATCAATGATGTCCTTAATTATATCCACATTAATCAGTAATAATTTTTTGGAGGAAAACAAATCAGAAGAATTCCCACTGAAGACTATATCAAAATTAAAAAAACTGATCCATTTATATGTGCATGTTTCTTTTACATATCATATGAAATAAATTGCCATAATGATAAGGTTTTATGAGCTCTTTTATGATAAGGCTTTATAGGCCTATTTATGATGAGATTTATTCCATAAGTCACTTATGTTTCACTTCAAATTTTCATTGCCTCAAAAGTCTTAATCATAAGAATTTTAACGAATGTTGACTTTTAGAATATAATTGTTGCAGAATGAATAAGTTGTCCACTGATGATAACTAAGTTTCATGTAGTATTTCTTGCCTGACTTTTCCATATCCTTAATATTGTTTTGGTCATTAAGACAATCATGTTAACTGAGTTGTCACCTCTATCATTTCAGATGAGTCTTTACATGTTATGAGTGAGTCAGATATTCCACAATGCTTAATTGATAGACTAGCAGAAGAAAGGTGAGAAAATATGCATATATTTGCCAAAATGATGTATAATTTGTGACCCTGATTGAAACTGAAATTATAATAAAACCTGTCTTATGAATGTTGTTTTAATTAGTTCGAATACTTTGTAGTAGTAGTAAATATTGATTTGATTTCTCGATTATATGAACAATTGCTTAAAGCATGCTTTTTCTAAAGCATCATCTATTTAAAGTCTTGGTTGCGGATATGGTCCAGACTCCTCCTTAAGGTTATTGGTACATTAGTTATATACTTTGTTTGTGTATCGACTGTTTATGTATTTCCAGACGTATGGAAGTGCAAAAGAGAAAAGAGAGAACAGAGGCACACTTGTATATGAATGTTCAGGTTGTGACAGAGGACCATTTTTATGGTCACCAAGGCAATGATCTCATGGATCTGGAGAAAGCCAACTTTAGGTGAGGCTCTTGTTCAAGGCTTAGCAAAGCCATTTCTAATAGGTTTACTGTGAAAAGAGGTAAAATGTCTATGTTATTAGAATCGTAAAACTGACAGCATTAGTTTTAGTAAGGTGCTATTAAAGTATTAATCTACTGCACAGTTCTTGCACTGTTTACTTTACCACAATGGAGTTTTACAACATTTAAGTTTTTAAGCCCAGCATCATAATCAGATGGTGGCTTTATCAAATGGCCTTCATCTCTGATATGGTTGCTGTCCATTAGTCCATTCAGTCAGTTGCTCAGTCAGTTATTCCATATGTATACAAATCTTGCATCCACACACTCTGAAGTTGTGCACATGCAATTTAAGTTTTGATGGGGCCATTTTTATTTTGTCGTCGTAATGATCAGTATGTGAATTCTACTTTTAATTTACGATGTCGATTTCGATCAGGTGTCAATCACATGCCTCGCAAATTGTGCGGTGAAATCAACTTTCAAAGAAACAATAACAATTAAAAACACAAAATATTCCCTTTTTAA